TGCAAAGATCTTCCAGAAGACCAAGTGCAGCATGTGCAACAGCCCGCTAGAGCTGCCATCTGTGCACTTCCTGTGTGGCCACTCTTTCCATCAGCACTGCCTAGAGAGCTTTGCTGAGAGTGAGGCCGAGTGCCCCACCTGCACCCCTGAGAACAGGAAAGTGATGGACATGTTGCGTGCACAAGATCAGAAACGAGATCTGCATGACCATTTCCACAGACAGGTACTGATTTTTCTCCTGCAGGACATTTTGAATTGATCAAAGTTGCCAGTGTTAACTAAATACTTCAAAATAAAAATGCAAATGAAAATGTAATAGAATTTCTCTCTCTTGTAGCTGAAATGCTCTAATGACGGCTTCTCAGTCATCGCTGACTATTTTGGCCGTGGAGTGTTTAACAAACTCACTCTGATAACGGATCCTCCCGGAGGAAAGAGTGGAGCTGGGAATCTGGAGGCTGAATTCAACAGAGATCTGCTCATTAACACTAAGAGGAATGTTTGAGAGCTGGACTGGAGTTCATATTAAAAGAAGAAGTGCTGATCTAGGGTCAGATGTCTGACTAGGGTCTGCTGCAGAAACAGCTCTACACTACTTGAATGGCATTTGAACAAATCCAAATTAAGCCCCCGCAACTCCTCTTCTTAGTGTTGATTTATTTATAGGCTTAATAGCGGAGAGCAAGATTACAGCTTGTTCAGAATGTCTTCATCTGTGTAGTCTCCAAGATCAGATCAGCATAAAGTGGAAAAGTATCAAAACCACTGTGGGTGATGATAACATTTAAGAACTTGCACTTCAAGACCGTGACCTTTTCACGCTTTGAATTCAGCTGCCGTAGGCACACTATAGAAGACAACTTGCACAACTTCATTTTGCATCCCTTAATAATTTCTGTATAATATTTCATTAGCATTGCAACCATTCATTATAGCAGATAAAGCAACTAATCAACAATAATCAATGTTAAATGCCTGTAAAAGTGTCATTAATAAATGTAAAACATCATTGACTAGTAACTTGTAATTATATTGTATTATTTGTGATGTTTGTTGAGATTTTAATTTGTCATGAAATAAAAAAAAGAACTGTTTACACCGTATTTTACATTGTAGATGCCAAAGAATACAGAAATGTGTGTAAAACACTAGTTTGAAGTCACATTGAAACCCCTCTGAACAAATCTACCTTCATTTATTGAAACCTTCACTAGTGTCTAGTTTGCTAAAACTATTTGGTGAGTTACACAAGTTTGCAAAGCTAAACAGCTCAACCAGCAAGTAAAGGTGCTAAGAACCACATCCTGGTCTCAAGTGCTGATCCATGACGCCTGGAACTGCTGTCTCTGCCAAGAAGCTTGGTTAAAATCACCTTTTTTACAACGTGAACCTGTTTTACCCTTGTTGAAACAGGCTAAACTTTCAAAATGTTGACTCTTAACTGAACTGTAGAGTTCCCCTATCATCATTCTCGATGGCTTTTTTAGTATGTTTGTGAAACCAAAGACAGTCTTCTCAAGCTCTGCTTAAGCCTGTGACTAAAATCACGAATCTCAGCTTTACACTCACTCGAGCTATTCTCATTTTAGTGTCACAGATAAAAACCAAGCACAAAGAGAAAGTTAATTGAATCAGTAAAACCTATGTCTCCCTAGTTATATAATGCTTTTTAGTTTTCCGGTTCTTACTCCTGCCATATCTCGACAGACTGAGGGAAACCACAAGGTTTCTCAATGACGCGAGTGTGAACTATTTGGGTTTAGCAGTAAACTTTTAGGATTTAGGACTTTTCTTCAGCCATTCAATCTGCCTGTCGGGTATTAAATAGACAGGCGTCATTTAAACTGAACATTTTGT